TCAGCTAAAGACATCGCCCGCCAGCATTTTCCTGGCAAAGATCATCCGTACGGTAGATGGCCCGATTGCGATGCTGCCTTGTGTCAGCCTCTATTTTCATGAGAAGTGCAGTGATTGCGATGAGCAAAATTGCAAGATCAACAAGGTATTTGCCGAAGCCCGGGATGCTACTTTAAAGGTTTTGGAACACCGGAGCCTGGCCGATATTACTTAATCTATTGATTTCCAAAATAGAATGCGTAACTTTTGAGTTGCAACATGAAAAAGGAACTCAACTTTTACGGCGCTATAAAGTACTGGAACGAGGATGACCAACCTCGTGAACGATTGGCTACAAGAGGGGCCAGTGCACTATCTAATGCGGAGCTGCTTGCTATTCTCATAAACAGTGGCACGCCACAGCTTTCAGCGCTTGATCTTGCCAAGATGATATTGACACAAGCGCAAAATAACTTGCGGGAGCTGGGCGGGCTTTCCATTTCTGATCTTAAAAAGACGCGGGGCATCGGGCAGGCACGGGCTATTACCATCGCCGCGGCCCTGGAGCTAGGCCGGAGAAGGCAGATCACCGATGGGCTGGATCGCCCGGTTATCACGTCCAGCAAGGAGGCGGCTAAGATCATTATTCCCTTATTGTCTGATCTGCCCAATGAAGCTTTATGCGTATTGTATCTTAATAATGCCTCGCTGCTGATACGACACGAGATCATCAGCCATGGCGGCCTTACCGGCACCGTGGTGGATATCCGGGTGATCCTGAAACAAGCTTTGCTGCTGAATGCAAACAGGATCGTTATTGCCCACAACCATCCGTCCGGCAACCTGCAACCGAGCCAGTCTGACAGACAGATAACAACGAGGTTAAAAGAGGCAGCTGCACTTATGGAAATAGAGCTGGTGGATCATATTATCGTAGCGGGGGTAAAAATTTTCAGTATGGCGGAAGCCGGGTTACTCAAACAAATGTGAATCGCGGTAGTTACCGGATGCTGGTTTTCTTTTAAGGGCGACAGGAAATACGGTGAAACTGCATATGCGTCTCAAATATTGTTAACTTCGCGCCTCCGGAACGGGCATTCGGGCTATAAAGCCGTCACATTCATGATTAAAATTGGTCTCTTTGGCGCCGGGCATCTCGGCAAAATACATATGCAGCAATGGCTGCAAGTTGATGGCGCACAGCTTGTTGGCTTTTATGATCCTAATGATGCCAATGCCGCTGAAGCGATTGCCCAGTACGGCGTTCAGCGTTACCTGACTATTGAAGAGCTCCTTGCATCGGTAGACGCAGTAGATATTGTTACGACCACCATCGCCCATTATGCGCTTGCCAAGCAGTGCTTATTACAGGGCCTGCACGTATTTATTGAAAAGCCCCTCGCTCATACCCTTGAAGAAGGACAAGAGCTGGTAAAGCTGGTTAATGAAGCAGCCGTAAAATGCCAGGTGGGTCATGTAGAACGTTACAATCCGGCGTTGCTGGCTTTGACGGATACGCCGCTTCGCCCGATGTTTATTGAGGCACACCGGCTGGCACAGTTCAATCCCAGGGGTACAGATGTTTCCGTGATACTGGATCTGATGATCCATGATATTGATATTGTATTACACCTGGTTAAATCGCCGGTTCGCCGGATCTCAGCCAGTGGGGTTGCCGTGATGAGTGAAAATTTTGATATTGCTAATGCGCGTATCGAATTTGACAACGGCTGTGTAGCCAATCTTACTTCCAGCCGCATTTCCCTGAAACGCATGCGTAAAATGCGGCTCT